TATCGAGAATTGGATGATTTTTCGTCTGTTTTTGGAATTTATTGACATTAAAGATTAGAATTTCCGAATATGGCCAAAGACTTGAAAGAGAAAATAAGACGATTGAATGCTATATAGACGGACTAAGACTGGATTTTGTTTCCTAAAGTCCTAATGAACCATTTTATCCTTTAAAGATGCTGAGTTTCTCGTTAGGAATTTTTTTTCGTATATTTTCGGAATTATGTGCCAGCAGAACGGACAGACAAGAGCATTTTTTGGCTAGTTTATTATTTGTGTTTCATTCATCACGAGGTTTTGTTTATATTTTATGGTATATTAATAAACACCGCATCGCAGGATTTTTTTTTTTAGAATCGTATGACGAGCAGTTTGTGTACTTATAGATATTTCGTATTTTGGCGGGAATTTCACCTTTTTTTTTTAGAATTTATTGTTATTTTAGGAATACTTCATCACAAACATGAAAATGGACTTGTTTGGATTTTTTCTTTATTATTAGAAATTTATTTTATAGTTTACGATAAACAGCAGGGCAAAATGAAAGAACTCAACGAGAGATGGTGAAGACGATCGAACACTACAGCGGCGGACTAAGACAGGATTTTGTCTCCCAAAGTCGTGATGAGTCGAGGTATTATTACGTCGTCTATAGATATTAGTTTCTTGTTCTTATTTGATTGTGTCGTGGGAGAATTTTCACCTGGTTTTGGTATATATTCACATTTTTACGATAAAATTTAAGAAAATATAAGATTCAGAAAGACTTACGAGAGACAATAAGAGGCTGGAACACTAGACTAAGACAGGATTTGTTTTCTTAAATTCGAGTCGTGGTTTATTATAGTCGTCTATATTTCTCTCGCATTTTCGATGTATTTTTCAGTGAATAATTTTGATATTTAATAATAAACTATGAAAAATAATTAACACTTTCTATATATTTCCTGTTTCTCTTTTTCATCTGTTTTTAATAATTTGGTTTATAATTTACGATAGAATTTGCAATAATCTCAGAAAACACGAGATGATGGAACACAGAGCGGCGGACTAAGACGATAGGATTTTGTCTCCCGAAGTTATGATGAGTCGAGGCGTTATTATGTCGTCTACTCCTGTATAGTTTCGGGTTTAGGATTTATCTTGTCATTGAAATTTCTCGATATTATTTGATTCCTCTTGATATATTATTTTTTTTCTGGGAATTTTAGTATTTTATTTATTTTTTTAATATTTTTGGAAGAATATTGAAAAAAAAATCGACTCAGATGAGAAGACGATTGAATACCACACAATCGGAGTGAGATAGAGTTTAATCCTCATTACTCGTGTGTCATGGCGGGGTTATCATATCGTCTATAGACCTTCAGTTTCTTATACAAATATATAATTGTGAGATACCGAAAGATAATGATGATTTTATTACTCAGAATTTTATATTTTACGAGAATAATTAAAATAAATGTCACTTAAAAACGTTGTGATAAAATGTAAAGAGGAAAAATAAACCATCCAATTCATTTAACCTTCGTGATGCTCTTTTATTTTAATACCATAAACGAAACAACATTATCTGAGAATATTTTAATAATTTCCTATACTGTTATTCTTCTTCTCCCTCCTCTTCCCTTCTTCTCGTATTCTTTCTCTTCCTTCTCTTCTCTTCTTCTTCTTCTTCCTCCTCCTCCTCTCCTCCAACGTCTATACCATAACCCTGACCAACACACAGACAGACAAACAGACAAAATATACCTCCAAGTAATAAACCGGAATATCTCCAGGTGACCCAATAACGTCAGGGTCACATACCAGGGTCAAAGGTCACGGCAGGAAGGTCAGACAAGGTCATCAACTCAAATCTTATTCTGTCGCGGAACTGAGAGACGGAAGACAGTCTGGCCTTTTTTCCTGACATACATACATACATACATACATACATACATACACACATACATACATACAGACAGACAGCAATAGCAACCCCCTCCCCCTCCCCCCTCTCCCACCTCCACCCCCCCCTCCCTTCACCAACGCTGACCGCCCTTCCGGTAAACTCTAGAAACTAATTGTTATTCAAGGCTTGTGATGACCGAACCCCCCTTTCCCCAATCTTTCTCCTTTCTAACTTCTCCCTTCCTTTCTAACCGCCCACCCTCCTTCCTCTACTCCTCACTTCTCCCTTTCTTTACCTCCCTTCCCCCTTTCCTTACCTCCCTTCCCCTTTCTAACCCCTCCTTTCTTCCACCTCTTTTTTTCCTCTTCTCCCAGTATTCTCTTGCTCCTTCCACTCCTCCATCCCTTTCCTTTATCCCCTTCCCCCCTCTTTTCTACCTCCACCTTCTCTCCCACCTCTATCCCTTCTCCCATCCCCTCCCCTTTCCCCTCCTCTTGTTCCCCCTCCCCTTTCTCACCACCACAACCCGCACGTCTTTGAGGGGTGGGGGAATAGGGGTTGTTTTTGGCCTCTGCTCTTGACGTGGTTAGGGGTGTGTGACCCTTTACCACACCAAGGGGAAGGAGAGTGTGTATTGGTCCCATGGCAAAGGAGTTGACGTGGGAGGTGTGAGAGTCTTCCCTCCCTCAAGGTGTCAGTGTTCTTGTTGTGGTGCTGTCCCCATGTCAAGTGGTAGGGGTCTGCTGGTGTGCTATTAAAAACCATTGCAAGGAGGAGGTCTGTATCTCAGCCCTCTTGAGATATAGTGTGGTCCCCATGTCAAGTATGTTGATGTAGGGGCCTTTATCAACCCCTTCAAGTTATACCTCGCACTACACGACCACTCCAACCCGTTCACTCCTAAGTCAAGTGAGTTGATGTGCGACTATCCGTTACCACTTCAAGGCTCAGCTCCCAGTTCCCGTTTACACCCAGGTCAATTTGCCTCTCCTCAGTTAGCCTTTGAGGGGAACGGCCGCCGCTTTTAAGGTGGCAGGATGGTGTAAAGGTGTCCATTACCACACCAACGTCTAGTGCTTTCCTGTAGCGTGTTACCAAGTCAAGTAAATTGATGTAGGGTCGTAAAATACTGCTTGGGGACAGTTTTTTGGGGGTCCTCATGTAAACCCATGTCAAGTGAATTGTAGTGGTGGTCTTCCATTTACCATTTCAACAACATTATACAGTCCCACGTCAAGAGAATTAATGAACATATCGATTAACCATTGAAAGCCACTTCCGATATAACATTTAAACCACCTCAAGAACCATCTCTCGGGTAACCCCACGTCAAGTACATTGATATAGGTGACCACAGCACTACACCAAGACCAAACCACTGCCTCCCATAGCAAGTGAATTGACATGGAGACTTAATACAACCACCCCTTCAAGGACCATCTCCCTGCCTTCTTCCCCAGGTCAAGAAAACCCCCAAGGTGGTGGTTGATGGGGAGTGATGGGAGGACATAATGGGGAGTGATGGGGTTAAGTCGATTACCATGTTACAGTAATGGGGGCGACCTGATGGAGTCATGGGGGTCAAAGGTCACTGTGGTGGAGGAAAGAAGGGAGGGAAATTGATGAGGTCAAGTGAAGTGAGGTGTTGGAGTGCTGGAGATTGATGGGGATTGATGGGGGTGGTAAGAGGGCGTAATAGGTCATGGGGGAGGAGGAGGAGGGTGATGGATGATGGGTCAGGTCATAATAATAATAATAATGATAATAATGATGATGATGATGTTGATGATAACCAAACTCCAACCAAACCCAACCAAACCCAACCAAACCAAACCTAACCTAACCTATCCCAACCAAACCCAACCAAACCTAACCAAGCCCAACCAAACCTAACCTAACCTAACCCAAACAGTCAAATACACTCACACATCTCCAGTTAGTACACATAAACGGAACACATCTTTGAGAATACATAGACCTTGACACGATGAAAGGAGGACAGGTTATCTTACGAGTTTGTTAAGATTAAATACAATTATTCCGTTTGATGTTCCTTTATGGTAGAGCCAGTAAGGTGAAGGGGGGAGATAATGGTGGTGTTAGCTTAATATTATAGCTAGGTGCTTAATAGGAAATTGTAGTTGTTGTTGTGGTTGTTAATATCATTATTATTATTATTACATATTATTATTATTATTATAACACTAACAACAGCACACACCATCACACACACACACACACACATCATCATCATCATCATCACACACACACACACACACAAACACAGTGACAAACTTAGTAGCAAACAACAATTTGCTTAATTACTAGGGTGTATTTGTAAGGACCTGTCTTACACATGTCGTGTGTATCTTAAGAGTTGAGGTTAGTGTAGTCTGTCTGTCTGTCTGTCTGTCTGTCTGTCTGTCTGTCTCTTTCTGTGATTTTAAGGCAAACTTGGCCATTTATTTAGGTTTAATTTGAAAGGTATTGGGTGGGTGGGAAGAGGGTGGTGGCTGGGTGGTAAATATGGGGGGGGGATGTGGGTGGAGGATGTAGGAGGATGGTTGGAGGAATGGGGAGTTAAGATGGATGAGGTTGGATGGGGGTGGATGGGGGTGGATGGGGGTTAGGGTGTCGTGAAGAGAGTACATAGAGTGGGCGGGTAGGGGTTGAAGGATGAGGATTGAGGAGTGGGGGATGGGAGGAAGTGGGGAGGTGTGGAGGAGGAGGAGGAGGTGACAGGGTGGGGAGTGGTAGAGGGATTTTGTTGATCTTAGTTTTGGTTTTATTATTGAATTGGATTTTTATTTGTGTGTTTGTGTTTGTTTGTTTTTTGTTTACATTCCCTAAAACGTTCACCAAATCCTTAGTCCCAAACGTTCCTTACCTCATGATCCCCCAGAAAACGTTCATTAAATCCCTAATCCCAAACGTTCCTTACCTCATGACCCCTCAAAACGTTCATTAAATCCCTAATCCCTGACGTTCCTTACCCCATGACCTCAGAAAACGTCATTAAATCCCTAATCCCTGACGTTCCTTATCCCATGACTCCAGAAAACGTTCATTAAATCCCTAATCCCAAACGTTTCTTCGCCACCTCCAGGAACGTGCTGGTGGGGGCGAACTACCACATCAAGATCAGCTGTGTAGGGTCGTGTAGGTCCCTGTACGCTGGCGACTACTACACCAGTGACACCCAGTACAGCCCCCTGCCCATACGCTGGATGAGCTGGGAGGCCCTCTTCCTGGTAGGTACTGGGGGTCCTCTTCCTCTAGGTACTGGGGGTCCTCTTCCTGGTAGGTACTGGGGGTCCTCTTCCTGGTAGGTACTGGGGGTCCTCTTCCTGGTAGGTACTGGGGGTCCTCTTCCTGGTAGTTACTGGGGATACTGGGGTCCTCTTCCTGGTAGGTACTGGGGTCCTCTTCCTGGTAGGTGGGGGGGTCCTCTTCCTGACCCTCTTCCTGGTAGGTACTGGGGGTCCTCTTCCTGGTAGGTACTGTCCTCTTCCTGGTAGGTACTGGGGGTCCTCTTCCTGGTAGTTCTCTTCCTGGGGTACTGGGGTCCTCTTCCTGGTAGGTACTGGGGTCCTCTTCCTGGTAGGTACTGGGGTCCCCTTCCTGGTAGTACTGGGTCCTCTTCCTGGTAGGTACTGGGGTCCTCTTCCTGGTAGGTACTGGGGGTCCTCTTCCTGGTAGGTACTGGGGTCCTCTTCCTGGCCTGGGTCCTCTTCCTGGTAGGTACTGGGGTCCTCTTCCTGGTAGGTACTGGGGGTCCCTCTTCCTGGTAGGGTCCTCTTCCTGGTACTGGGGTCCCTCTTCCTAGTAGGTACTGGGGTCCTCTTCCTGACTGGGGGTCCTCTTCCTGGTAGGTACTGGGGTCCTCTTCCTGGTAGGTACTGGGGGTCCTCTTCCTGGTAGTTACTGGGGATACTGGGGTCCTCTTCCTGGTAGGTACTGGGGGTCCTCTTCCTGGTAGGTACTGGGGTCCTCTTCCTGTAGATACTGGGGATACTGGCGGTCTTCTTCCTGGTAGGTACTGGGGATACTGGGGTCCTCTTCCTGGTAGGTGCTGGGGTCCTCTTCCTGGTACTGGGGTCCTCTTCCTGGTAGGTACTGGGGGTCCTCTTCCTGGTAGGTACTGGGGTCCTCTTCCTGGTAGGTACTGGGGTCCCTCTTCCTGGGTACCTGGGGTCACTGGGGATACTGGGGTCCTCTTCCTGGTACTGGGGTACTGGGGGTCCTCTTCCTGGTAGGTACTGGGGGTCCTCTTCCACTGGGGGTACTGGGGTACTTCTGAGGTACTCCTCTTCCTGGTAGACTCCTCTTCCCTGGGGTCCTCTTCCTGGTAGGTACTGGGGGTCCTCTTCCTGGTAGGTACCGGGGGTCCCTCTTCCTGGTAGGTACTGCTGGGGACTTCTCTTCCTGGTAGGTACCTCCTCTTCCTGGTAGGTTCTTCCTGGTAGGTTACTGGTATTAGTCATTTTTCCTTGTTATAATTATTTAGATGAATATTCCCACCAATACTTCCTTCACTAATGCTCTATCTCCCCCCCTCCTGCCGTGCCTCCTTCAGGGTCACTTCAGCAGCCGTAGTGACGTGTGGTCCTTCGGGGTGACCTTGTGGGAGATGTTAACTCTGGGTCGTCAGCAGCCCTACGAGCGACTCTCTGACGAAGGTGTGATAGAGAACCTGGCCCACTTCTATCATGATGACGGCGGTGATGTTAACCTCTGTCACCCTCTGTCTCATGTTAACCTCTGTCACCCTCTGTCTGTTACCTGTCCCGACAGATGTTGATGCATTGTTAACACTCTGTCCTCTCCCCTTCCACCAACAGATGTTCCTACAATATTAACCTCTGCCTTCCTGCCCTCACAGATGTTATTCATGTTTACCTTTGCTTCCTCTCTTCCTCATAACAGGTGTTCATTCAATGTTAACTTCTGCCCTCACAGCACTAACCTCTGACCTCATAGCATTAACCATTGCCCTCTTGCCCTCACATTGCTCTACCCTCCTGCCCTCACAGTGCTCTGTCCTCCTGCCCTCACAGTGCTAACTTCTACCCTCCTGCCCTCACATTGCCCTACCATTCCTGTCCTCACAGCGCTAACCATTACCCTCCTGCCCTCACAGCACTAACCTCTACCCTCCTGCCCTCACATTGCCCTACCACTCCTGCCCTCACAACACTAACCATTGCCCTCTTGCCCTCCTCCACAGATGTTCCCGACACAGCCCGCTCTCTGCCCTAAGGAAATCTACGACTTGATGCAGGAATGTTGGCGCCGTAACGAAGGAGACCGCCCTAACTTCAGGGACATCCACGTGTTCCTGCAGCGTAAGAACCAAGGATACTCTCCCGAGGCGTGAAGAATGCGGTGGATGACTCTCTACGATAAGGATGGTGAAGTGTTGGTCACCAGGATAGGATAAACAGCTTGGTGTAGGATATGTTTTTGTGATGTTTTCGTCACTAGGATATATGAAGAGTTTGGCGTAGGATGTGTTCTGTTAATGTTCACCAGGATAGGATGTGTTTGAGATGTGTTGGTAACCAGGATAAGATGACAAACTTGATGTAGGATATGTTTTGTAAAGTAACAGTTACCAGGATAGGATGTGTACTGAGATGTGTTGGTAACCAGGATAGGATGATAAACTTGATGTAGGATATGTTTTGTAAAGTAACAGTTACCAAGATAGGATATGTCATTATAAGGACGGTCACCAGGATAGGATGAAGGATGTGTGATAGGATGTGTTTACTTGGTGACTGTATAGAGTTATTTGCTTTTGAAGGAGGAGATAAGGAAGAGGAGGAGGAGGAGAAGGAGGAGGACGAGGAGAAAAAGATGGAAGAGGAAGAGAAAAAGAAGAAAGAAAATGGAAGAGGGGAAAGAGAAAGAAGGAGCAGAGGCGGAAGAGGTGGAAGAGGGAGGAGGAAGAAGAGGAAGAGAAGGAGATACAGTGAAAGTCAGAAGAGATTTAATTGGATGTTTCTGCTGGAGGGAAGAAGCAAGGAGGAAGAAAGGGGAGGAAGAGACGAAGCTTCGATGATTGAGAGAAGAAGAAGAAGAAGAAGAAGAAAAAGAAGGATAAAAATAACGATTCGGTGATTGGTAGACAGAAGCGATTAGATGAATAATAAAACTTACATGATTGGAAGAAGGACTTATAAAGCACTGAAGATTAGACGATTGGAAAACAAAAGACAATCAACAAAAACAGGAAAAACTAATGATTGGAAGGAGACATAAACAGAAGATTAGACGATTGGAAATATTACTGAGGACACAACAACACAACTCACTGCACTCATTCTTACAAGGAGTTTGCTTTCAGTCTTCGAAGGAGTTGGTGAGAGTCCTTAAGTTGACATCCTTCAACGTAGGATATCTTGAACTCACTGCCAAGGAATTCCTCAGGTCAGACAAACTGTAAGATGGAGATTCAGTCACGGCTGTTGAGAGATAAGTGATTAGGAAGGTGATTAGATGTCAAAATTCGTGATTACAGGTGAACTAGAAGTGATTAGAGGTGATTAGTGGTGAAAATACTTCCTGTCTGTTAAAGAGGACAATCAGACCATCCTATTTATCAAAGACAATCAGATTCTCCTGTTTATCGAAGAAGACAATCAGATCCTCCTATCTATCAAGGAAGACAATCAGATCCTTCTATAGACGATCAGAATCTACTCAAGAGGCATCAGACGTGTTTACTCCCCCTCCCCCCCACCCTTCGCCCCTTCCCCCTCCAAGAACACTGTGTTTGTTTGTGCTTGTTGGTGTGTTTGTAGAGGCGAATTAAGGCAAGAGAAAGTTGTGGTGAAATGAAGAGAAAGTTGTGGTGAAATGAAGGAAAAGTTGTGGTGAAAGCAAAAGAAAACTGATGAAAGAAGAAAAAAATTGTGAAAGAAGGAAAAGCAATAGTGAAAGAAGAGAAAGCTATAGTGAAAGAAGGAAAAATATGTGGTGAAATGAAGAGAAAATTGTGGTGAAAGCAAAAGAAAAGTGATGAAAGAAGAAAAAAATTGTGGTGAAAGAAGAGATAGCTATAGTGAAAGAAGAGAAAGCTATAGTGAAAGAAGAGAAAGCTATAGTGAAAGAAGAGAAAGCTATAGTGAAAGAAGAGAAAGCTATAGTGAAAGCCAAAGAAAGAAAAAAAAAAGAAGAATGAAAGAGTCTTGAACAAGGTCATCCGCCACATCCCTTATAATTGCAATAACTTACTGATAATCGACACATTATAAACTCATTCAGAAAAACAGACAAACAGACATATACAGGACACGATAAAAGACACAACTCATTTTAATTGGGACATCATTTAGAGCCTGTCTCTCTCTCTATATATATAAGGCACTGTAACCCTGAGATAAATGGGTTAAAGGACACTATATAAACGATACGATTTATATATATCTCTCGGCTAATCGGGTCATGTTATAAAAGGACTGTATTCTTATAGTGGTTATTACTGTGGGAGGGAGTGTGTTTTTATATATACAATAGCCCCCCTCCCTCTCGTATAATGGGTCTAAGAGGACTATACTTAATATCTGGGGATTATGGGCACAAGAGTAACCCCCCCCTCCCCCTCCCCCTGCCTCAAGGAGCACGATAGCTCTTAGATGACGGGGTTGAGATGACTCTTGATATACAGAAGACATGATATCAAAGGCACCGCAGCCAAGAACCAAGTCAGCTACCTATTTGTGTTCACGCGGGTACAGTCACCTCTTAAACGCTAAGGTGCTCACTCGAACATAAACGAGGGAAGAAAAAACGAGAAAAAACAGAATTCTTTGAGGACACACAGCTGTATGTTCATTGGCTGGTAGAAACGTCAAGAAAAGTGTTGGTGAGTGATAAAAAAAAATACTTATATATCTACAAAAAAGGTTCATGACAAACTATTGTACTTTGGTCAATACTTTGGTGTGTGTGTGTGTGTGTGTGTGTGTGTGTGGTGTTATACGAGAGGTGTTTGTTTTAACGTAGACTGTGTTACAGATGGATACTTTCTCTGATAACTTGTGGAAAAAACAAAAACATAAAAAAGTTGTTTTTGGAGACGTTTTTTATTAGTGTTGTGAAGGTGTTAATTATGGTGTCTGGGTGTACAGTACTGAGGACGTGTTGTGTCGTGCCTCTCCCTCACTCACTCACTCACTCATGATAGGAGGTGACTTCTCTAGTGTCTTAAACTGAAGCAGCTGTTTTACCCGTGGCTTTATAAGTGCCCCTCAAGTGTTACTAAGGAACACACGCAACTGGACATGTTAGGTGATGATCGACCTTACGGTGGCTGTGTACTGTACCATCTTGCTCACCACTGACAGAGGTCATTTGAGGACACTATTGTGCTGTCGTCCCGCACATGTGGACATCCTTCAATGTGGGAGGATTTCATAGAAGATGATATCCTTTGGCTTGGGATGTTATGAGTCTTCCACGTTGGTATCCTTCGACCTAGGGACTCCTGGAAGTTCTCAACACTGATATTCTTAGTCGTAGGACCACATGGAAATCTTCAAGTTGATATCCTTCGACGCAGGACCTCGCGTTGTCTCCTCCACCCCAGAGCCGGACGGTCCAACATTACCACACACAGTACAGTACAGTACTGGGGGAAGGCACAGCAGGGTATAGCGAACGTTTCATCGCGTCTTTCTCATAAACTGTTGTGTTTACAAAAAACGTTCCTGAGACAAAACCAAAAGAGGAAACGTTAGTTAACAAGTGTTGCTCACCACTTCACCTCACCTCACCTCCGAGTGAACACCCCAAACTTGCCTAGATCAAAACAAAGGATCTTCCCCACACTGTTGATCAAAAGAAAGATGTTTTATTTTGTCAGGTTCTTACATCAGCCTTTTTCCTGCTTAATGGTAAAGAGATCTTTTATTTACATGATAGAGGAAACAGTATGTATATAACTATATTATGACGCAGCACATTATGTGATTTAACATTACTTGAAAGCTTTAACTCAACGCATTAGTTTGTTAGTTAGTGGCAGGTGGACGAGGGTCTCATCACTTGATTAATTACTTCACTAATTACCACCCGGGCGTCAATTAGGTAGACTACGTGTTTAATCTTTTGGTAGCAATGACTTATTTGGTCGATCTATTCTCGGTTAAATAAGTCGTGATCAGTTATTGTTCTTGACGCTCTGGTGCTGGTGGCTGTGGTGACTTGTGGAGCTGGACAGGTGTGGAGCTGGACAGGTGTGGAGCTGGACAGGTGTGGAGCTGGACAGGTGTGATCGAGTGTCTTAGGTCACCTGGATAAAGATGGTCTTCCTGAATGTAAAATTTTCCAATGAATCTTCAAGTTGTTACTGTAAGATAATAACAGAATTTAACACCTGAATGACCCACTTACTCGATAGGTCAGTTCACTCCCACCACCACCACAGCTTCCCATACCACCTATAACATCACTCTCACATAACACCCAACACGACACGACACGATGGGACCCTCCTCTCCCCCCTCACCACCATCAATCACACCTCCCCCCCCCACCCACCCTCCCCCACTCCAAATCCCCCGTTCTCTATAGCATCGTTTGGTTAGCTTACGACAACAAGGCAATCAAATTTTAATCGCCTTTTCTTAGGATTATACAAGTGAAATAAAGAGTTTTAGTGGTTCTAGTCATGATGGCGTGTTGGTTCCCTCAGCTGGGCGCTATGGGTCAACCACTTCATCCTGTTTCACAATGTATTACGTGCCAGTGTTATTGTTTCTCTCTTGTAGTGGAAGAAGAAGATGAAGACAAAAAAAAAAAACCTACAAGGTATTTTTCAGCTCATTTGCATACGGAGCTTCATCGTTGAGTATTTTAAATAACTTTTTTGCCAGGTGTGTTGTTGTTGTTGTGGCCACTGCTGCCGCCCCTGCTCGTTGTCATAGCGCTTCAAGTTGCCATATATTTAAAAACAAAAAATTCGTTTCATTGTCTTTTTTACATTGTAGTTTATAAGGCCAAGATGAGATTATACGAAGCAAGAAGAGATTTCCAAGCTTTTTTTTTTTTACTATACAACTTTTCAGTGTTTTTACGATGCATACTTTTACGTGTTTTACAGTGACGCTCATGTGTGGGTCTTAGCCCAGGTGTTTTGTTTCGGTTCATGACTCATTTACGTGGTTCATGACTCACCTGTGTGGCTCATGACTCACCTGTGTGGCTCATGGCTCACCTCTGTGGCTCATGACTCACCTGTGTGGTTCATGACTCACCTGCGTGGCTCATGACTCACCTGCGTGGCTCATGACTCACCTGCGTGGCTCATGACTCACCTGTGTGGCTCATGGCTCACTCACCTGCGTGGCTGACTCACCTGCTCGGCTCACCTGTGTGGCTCATGACTCACCTGCGTGGCTCATGACTCACCTGCGTGGCTCATGACTCACCTGCGTGGCTCATGCTCATGACTCACCTGTGTGGCGGCTCACCTCTGTGGCTCTCACCTGATGACTCACCTGTGGCTCATGACTCACCTGCGTGGCTCATGACTCACCTGCGTGGCTCATGACTCACCTGTGTGGCTCATGACTCACCTGTGTGGCTCATGACTCACCTGCGTGGCTCATGACTCACCTTCGTGGCTCATGACTCACCTGCGTTCACCATTTACAGAACATGATTTTTTTACACCCATATATCACTGTAGTTAATAGCATGTTTATAATAATTTACACCCATGAAAATAAAGTACCTTCATTAGGAACCTATTGCGAGGAAGGTAATGAACTCACCTGGTTTATACTTTCACCTAATTAAGAGTTCAAGGGGTCACCTGTAATAGGGTTCATCTGTAATAGGCTCACGTAAAATAAGGTTGGCCAAGAAAACACTCGAAAACCATTTACAATTTACAGAGCTCCGGTTGTTAGACGGAATGAAAATGATTTACAATTTACAGAGCTCCAGTTATTTAGGTGAGTGAAGACAATTTATAATTTACACAGAAAACTCCTGTTAATAGGAATACAGTGAAAATGATATACAATTTACAAAGTTCCGATTATCAGAAAACAGTGAAAACAACTTGTGATTTACAGAGAGAGCTCGGCTATTATGTAAACAGTGAAAGCAATTTACAATCAACTCAAAGAAGACAATTACTTACAAGTTACCAGGAGGTGGAAGTCACTTGTACTGTTAAATGTGATACTTGTGTGTGTTTTACCTGTAAATAAAACTACTCTAGTCTATTAAGGTATAACTGATGTAAATTTAAAACCAAAATAACTCTTTTTTTTTATTTGTGTTTTAAGGAAGATGTTTTTTTTTGTTTTTTTAACATATATGTACAGGTGTTAATTTAAGAAAATACATACTCTTTGTTTTCGGGTTTTAGATAAGATTTTTTTTGTGTATTAACAATTGTTATTAAAAAAAGATAAAGACTTGTTTTCGCTTTTTATCAATATGTATCGGACAGGTGTTAGTGATGGCTACGCTTGTTTTCGTTTTTCAGCAGTATCAGTGTCGAGTATGATGTAGTAAAAACAACTCACATTCTTTATTATATATGACACAGGTGTGATATAAGCTTACCTGTGTGTTTGTTTTAATCTCACAAATAACACCTGTAGAGATATATGTATCAAGAGGTGTTGGATCATGTTTATATATATTTTCTGGTCTTATATGTAGTTTGTATTGTGTTCTCAGACTGTTTGTGTATTTAACTGTTTAATGTTGGAATTTAATATTTTTTTTCTTATCTTAGCCCCCCAAAAAAAAAAAACGTATGGATACCTATTTTTGGGGTTGGACAACAGTTATAAATTGTCAGGTGTATTGACCAGGTGTGTTGACCAGGTGTGTTGACCAGCTGTGTTGATCAGGTGTGTTGATCAGGTGTTAAGTTCAGCTTCTTTCATCTATTCCGTTTTTGAACTTTACTTATATCGTCTTGTTGTGAAACATCTGTAGGGATATTTGTCTTCGGTTTACTGTCCTCTGTTGGAATAAATGTGGACTAAAACTATGTATTGTCTTGTGGGTTTATACAAGGATGGTTTATGTCTCAACAGGTGTTTTAAAAGTTGTACCGGGAAGTTTTATATCTCAACACGTGTTTGAAAAGCTGTACCGGGAAGTTTTATGTCTCAACAGGTGTTTTAAAAGTTATACCAGGATGGTTTATGTCTCAACAGGTGTTTCAAAAGTTTTATCAGGATGGGTTTATGTCTCAACAGTTGTAACTAAAAAAGACACATTTTACTTCAGGTTTACAACACATACACGTGTTTTCACTTCACAACAATATCACTTATGTATAAAACAGCTGTAAATTAAAAGCCACATCCCACATTAGACCTTCAGTTCTCAATAAACACCTTCTATTATGTACGGGACCCCAAGGAGAGCGTTTTGGCCTGTTGTCTTTTCTAATAATAATAATAATAATAATAATAATAATAATAATAGTAATGCTTAATAATAATAATAATGTAGGTACCACTTAACAATACCTCTCTTTGGCTAATTGGGAAGGATTATGTCACAGAATGCTCAATAGGATGTGATTGGTTGTAGGTCAGATGGGTGCCAGTGCTTAATAGGTCACATGCTAACCTAACCTGACCTGACCTGACCTGACTTCACCGAGCCTAACCTAACCTAATAGGCCGCAAAATAACATGACTTATCCTAACCTAAGATAATCGAACTTATTTCATTCTAACCTAACCTGACCTGACCTGACCTGACCTGACCTGACCTAACCTAACCTAACTTGATCTACCCTACCCATTATGATTAGGAGCCATTATGATTGAGGCCCGAATAGGATTGGAACCCATTAGAATTGAGATCTATTAGGACTTGACCCCAATCCTAATGGGTAGATTAGGTTGGATTTGCTGCCCCTACTATCGTGACTCGGGCTCAAGACCCCCCCCCAACCGAGAATTCTAACCTTATTTCAGTGTTATGTTGTGAAGGACCACCGATCCATTATTTGTGGGAGAAAGACACTAATGTTTTTACCCTCTGTAGCCACGGGACCCCACACCATTGTACTACCCACACTGTGCTACCCCACACTGTGCTACCCCTGTATAACACACTGTGTGCTACCCCACACTGTGCTATCATACACTGTGTTCTACCCCACACTGTACTACCCCACACACTATGTACTATCCTTTACACTGTGTACTACCCCCACACTGCGTACTACCCCACACTGCGTACTACCCCACTGTGCCTACCCCACATGTACTCTCCACTTACCTGTGTACTACACACTTTGTACTACCCCACACTGTACCCCACACTATGTATATCCTTACATGTGTACTACCCCACACACTGTGTGCTGCCCCACTGTGTACTACCCCACACTGTACTACCCCACACTATGTACTATCCTTACACTGTGTACTACCCCACACTGTGTACTACCCCACACTATGTACTACCCCACACTATGTACTATCCTTACACTGTGTACTACCCCACACTGTGTACTACCCCACACTGTGTACTACCCCACACTATGTACTATCCTTACACTGTGTATTACCCCACACTGTGTACTGCCCCACACTGTGTACTACCCCACACTGTGTACTATCGCCCCCCCTACTGCTATAGTCACGGTGGCACTTACGACAAAAATAAGGCTGGATATTGACGCCTTACCGACCCCGTATCATAAGGTTGAAAATAACAAAACTGGAACACAAAATTCTCAAAGGTCCTTAAAAGTTAATTAAGTTTCGATTAATCAGGTGAGACAGGTAGATATGTCTAGTGAAGGTAAGGGTATCAGTGTTGCCAAGTTAAACCAGTAAAATACCTCACCTGGGTAGATGGAGGGAAGGTATTTAATGTATGAACCTTTGAGAATATTGGTTCTGTATTAGGAGTATTTTTCATAAGATGTGTGTGTGTGTGTGTGTGTGTGTGTGTGTGTGTGTGTGTATACGAAGGAGGAGGAGGTTTGGACCAAGACGGGAAGATGCTACAGTTGTTAGAGCATAATAACTACTGCAGGTGCTAACTCCTTCATTTAGTGTTTAGAATTTTGTAGTTTTTTGGTGTTTTTTTAGTTATAACTTTGATTAAAATAGTTTATATTTATATATTTGTTTATAAAGTTGTTGGGAACGTTGAGTCTTATAGATTAAATTAGCTGGAGGTAATTAAGAGCTATATTTTATTCTTCTGTTTCAATATATTAGTTGTGTTTTTTTCTAGAGTTGATGTGTTTAATATAAGAAAAACGGGGATCACGTGAAGATTAGGCACCCTAACTTTTATCATGTTACGATTAAGCATCCTGACACTAATCTAACCTAATCCTCCCACCAGTTAGTATTAAGGTGAAATAAGCTTAAGGGTGCTTAATCTACAGGTGACCTCAAGACTGGTACATATCGTGACCTGCTCTTGACACCATACACTTCCCCCATGGTCCAACTCCTCCTGATCTCCCCCCCCCCCCCCCCTCGCTGAGAGAG